GAGAAGGACAACTGATGATATGGGAAGAGGAGAGAATTGCTGGAGGATGTCCCTGAGAAGGCGGTGGAGGGATTGCCCTGAGCTAGGAGTGGGGTTGGTTCACCCCCAGAAACAGGAAGGAGAAAGGGGGTGAACAGACAATGTGGGAGCTTCTGGAAGTTCTCTTCTGATTGTGTTCTCTCGGTAAAAGAAACAAAGTCAGTATCTGAAACGTAAGGATGGGTAGGGAAGCGACAAGGTGCAGGCGTGACCTGAGAGGGCGCGGCTTTGTTCATTGCAGGGGGCGGGGATAAGGTCATAGGGCGGGGACTAGCGTAACTGCGACTCAATCCTGCCCTGGGGACTGGAGAGACTAAAATTTGGGGCGGGGCCTCACCGCGGGGGGGCTCCGCGCAAGTGGGCAGAACTAGGCCCGGGTGGAGCCGGGAGATGCCCACGTGCTGCGCACCTCCACCTCGCCCGCAGGGGACCAGCTGCTGAGTGCCCGAGTGTTCTTCGAGAACTTCAAGTACGAGGACGCACTACGCCTGCTGCAATGCGCCGAGCCTTACAAAGTCTCCTTCTGCCTGAAGCGCACTGTGCCCACCGGGGACCTGGCGCTGCGGCCTGGGACCGTGTCTGGCTACGAGATCAAGGGCCCGCGGGCCAAGGTGGCCAAGCTGGTACGCGTGCTTAGCCCGGCCCCGGCCCTGGACTGCCCCAGCGATCCGGTCTCTGCGCCGTGAGCCCCATTCCCCGCCACCATGGGCCAGCCTTGCCCTCTGTCTTGTCACTAACCCAAGCTAATCCCAGCCTCTGCCCCTTCCTCTCTGCCCCAAACTCTTCCCCGGGGAGGGGGACAGACCCACCCCAGCCCAGGGCCCTCACCCACCTCGGAGAGGCGTCCCCACCATCGGATCCAGGCTTGCTAGGGGTCCTGACCAGGCTACTTGGAACCGGGGAAGCCAGATTCCAGCCTGAGTGCGGCCCAATTATGGCTGAGTGGCCCTGGACAAATTTATTTCCCTCCCTGGGCCTCAGCTTCCCCATCTCTAGAATGAGGATATTGGGGAAAATCCCAGATCAGGACCTAGAAGTCTTGGGTCCCAGTCCCTATACTCCTGTTGACTCATTTGGAGATTCTAGATGGCTGCCTGCCTTCCTGGGCACTCATGGTGAAAAGACAGGCAAGAAGTGGGGATGATGTTTGGGGGACAAGATACTTGACCCAGGGTATCCCCGGCCTGGTCCAATACCAGGTGGGGCTTTTCCTGTCCACTCCCAGCCTCCCACTGTCCCACCGCCTCCCGCCTCTCTCCTTTTTCCCCAGAACATCCAGAGTCTGTCCCCTGTGAAGAAGAAGAAGATGGTGCCTGGGGCTCTGGGGGTCCCCGCTGACCTGGCCCCTGTTGACGTCGAGTTCTCCTTTCCCAAGTTCTCCCGCCTGCGCCGAGGCCTCAAAGCTGAGGCTGCCAAGGGTCCTGTCCCGGCCGCCCCTGTCCGCCGGCGCCTCCAGCTGCCTCGGCTGCGTGTACGAGAAGTGGCCGAAGAGGCTCAGGCAGCCCGGCTGGCCGCCGCTGCTCCTCCCCCCAGGAAGGCCAAGGTGGAGGCCGAGGTGGCTGCAGGGGCCCGTTTCACAGCACCTCAGGTGGAGCTGGTTGGGCCCCGGCTGCCAGGGGCCGAGGTGGGTGTCCCCCAGGTCTCAGCCCCCAAGGCTGCCCCCTCTGCAGAGGCAGCTGGTGGCTTTGCCCTCCACCTACCAACCCTTGGGCTCAGAGCCCCGGCTCCGCCTGCTGTGGAGGCCCCAGCCGTGGAGATCCAGGTCCCCCAGGTGGAGCTGCCTGCCTTACCCTCACTGCCCGCTCTGCCTCCACTTCCCTGCCTAGAGACCCGGGAAGGGGCTGTGTCGGTAGTGGTGCCCACCCTGGATGTGGCAGCACCGACTGTGGGGGTGGACCTGGCCTTGCCGGGTGCAGAGGTGGAGGCCCGGGGAGAGGCACCTGAGGTGGCCCTGAAGATGCCCCGCCTTAGTTTCCCCCGATTTGGGGCTCGAGCAAAGGAAGTTGCTGAGGCCAAGGTAGCCAAGGGCATCCCTGAGGCCAGGGTGAAAGGTCCCAGACTTCGAATGCCCACCTTTGGGCTTTCCCTCTTGGAGCCCCGGCCTGCTGCTCCTGAAGTTGTAGAGAGCAAGCTGAAGCTGCCCACCATCAAGATGCCCTCCCTTGGCATCGGAGTGTCAGGGCCTGAGGTCAAGGTGCCCAAGGGACCTGAAGTGAAGCTCCCCAAGGCTCCTGAGGTCAAGCTTCCAAAAGTGCCTGAGGCAGCTCTTCCAGAGGTTCGACTCCCAGAGGTGGAGCTCCCCAAGGTGTCAGAGATGAAGCTCCCAAAGGTGCCAGAGATGGCTGTGCCAGAGGTGCG